CAACAGGGAATGAATGTCGATCGATGATGATGATGATGAATGAAATAATCCAACTGGGAATTAATACTCAATCTGCAGATTACAGATCAGTAGTGAGGTTGAAACTTGAGCTGCAACTGCAACTGCGACTGAAAGAAAAGAGAGCTAGATAGCTATATAACAAGAACACTGCGAGCAGATTAATTTAATTCCCAGTTCTTAACTGGGTGTTTTCAATAAGCAAATATCTGAATCAATATATACATATATATATATATCAGAGTAAGATCCACTCCACCATATTTGTATCTCTGAGTGTGGTGAGAGGAGAGTGTAAAGAAAGAAATGGTCTCAAGTCCCATCGCATGTAGGGTAATTACAGTTGTAAAAACAAGTGTGTATGGTAGGGTTTTTTTCTTTACATTATTTAAGGCTAAGGTGAGAGAGGAGCTAGCTCTGTTTGATTTGATGGGACACTGCTCCATTTCTTGTCTCCAATTTTTTAAAAGGCAAACCCTAGTCCATAACTATTTGTCTGTCTTTTCAATTGTTACTTGAATTTAACCATGTGTTGTAATTTTATCGAATTCGTCATTTGTTTGGTTGGTCGTGGTTGGTTAAAAATTTAACTTTTTATTTAAAAAATAGTTTGATTTAGATTTTGTAAAAGGTAAAACTGCTAGTAATTTCACGTAATATTTTTTAAATATAAGGATGGTGTCATTCAATTTTTTAAATAAAATAAGAATTTAAATTGAGTTTCGAAATCACAAGGGGTTTTATACTAACATATTTTTAAAGGATAAAAAAGTGTCATGCAATTTAAGTAAATGTGAGATTTACGCTGAGTTTCGAAACTATAAGGAAGTTATGGACAATTTTGCCTTTGTAAAAGAATACTCCTTCTCTGCCCCAGTGTATTTGTTTGGAGACTTGGATTTTGAATTGGGATTTGAATACTAAAAATTTTGAATTTGAATAATTGTATGATATGATATAAATAGGTGTTGATCCGAGTAAAATTGATTTTTAGTATAATATAAAAAATAAAAAATAAATATTTGATTTGATATTTTTAGCGAAAAAATGTAATGAATAGTATTTAAAATCCAATATCCCAAACAAACACACTGTTCACTTTAAACACGAATAAAAAAATTTTAAATTTAAAATTTTAAAATATGATTAAAATATATAATTATATTTTAAAAAAAAAGTTACATGGACAGACAAAAATAAAAAAAGAGAAAACAAATTAAATAAAATGAAAAAAATAATAGATTTTTATTAAAAATTATACGAAATAAAAGAATTTGTGATTTGAAATTCAAATCACAACTAAATCATTAGTGTTCCCTTTAGATACAAGATTTGATAGTTTTTAAATTTTGGAAATTTTTTGGTAGAAATAAAAAAAATAGTACTATTTGATATAATATTTTTAAATAAATATATATATATTTATTTGATATGATATTTTAAAAATTTTAACTTTGACTAATAGTATTAAAATTTTCAAAAATAAATGTAAAAATGTATTGTATATATTTAATAAAAGGTAAACTGTTTTTCTAGTTACGTAACTGGATCCCCTATTATTTTAGTCCCGTAAACGGAGCCTGTCGCAAACTAGTCCCATAAGTGAAAATTTTTCGCTGTTTTAGTCCTCCGGCGCCGGAGACGCCCACGTGGCTCGCCGGAGGTGACGTGTCCGCCAGGTGTCCCACCAGGTCAGCGACACCTGGCGGACACGTGGATTTATTTATTTTTTTTCTATTTTTTTTATTTTTTTTAAATTAAATCAAATTAAAAAATTAAAAATATATAAATAAAATTAAAAATAAATTAAAAATAAGTTTTAAAAAACAATTAAAAAATTAAAATAAAATAAAAAATCCACGTGTCCGCCCGGTGTTGCTGACCTGGCGGACACGTCACCTCCGGCGAGCCATGCGAGCGTCTCCGGCGCCGGAGGACTAAAACAAGCGAAAATTCTCACTTATGGGACTGATTTGTGACAGGCTCCACTTACGGGACTAAAATAATAAAGGGGCCTAGTTACGGGACTAAAAAAACCGTTTACCCTTTAATAAATTAATTGTAATAATTTTTTAAGTTGTTAGTAATAGTGTCAATATGCTGGGTTGGGATTTGCAAGTCACTTGTAATATTTTACTTCTGATTTTATTATTTTAATTTTTTTTTTTAAATATCAAATCAAATATCCAATTTTTATTTATTTTATTATATTAAAATTTAATTTTACATTCAAAACATCACATTAATACATATTTATATCATATTAAACAACTATTTCAATTCAAAATTTTACTACTGAAAATCAAAAAATCAAAATCAAAACATCTTAAAGTAAACACATCCAAAAGTGTTTTATTTTGCTTGTTTTTGGAGACTTCAGATTCGAAGAAAATAAATAAATAAATAAATAAAATTAAAATTACATGCCACAATAGTGTTAATACAAATTTTGGATCTCGGATTCAGAAGATACGAAATAAAAAGAGATTTTGATTGTGCATGGAAGCAAAAGAAAATATTATAGGCCCTATTTCTAACCAATAATTGATACTCCCTCCGTCCCAAAAGTATAGTTTTGTTGTGTTGGATACGCGATTTTAAAGAATACTGATATTATATGGGTAGTCGATAAAAAGCAAGAGTAAATGACTTTTTTGCCCTTGTGAATATATTAGTGTAAAAAAATAATGATAATTGTGTAATAATAATAATTTTATGGTAATATGGTTATTTATGGAAATAAGACTATTGTTTTAAAACGGACAAAAATGGTAAACAATACTATTGTATTGGGACGGAGGGATATGATATCATAGTCGCGTTAGAATTGGATCAATTCAATAATATAATGAAAATAATTGTTTTTCTATACCAGTATGAATGTTTTCAGATTTCTTCCAAAGTGTCTCGTACTAACAGAGTTGAACCTGGACTTATAAGGTCGAATACTTATTCTACTATCTCCGTCGACTCTAAGGATTTCATTTACTTTTTGCGTGTTAGATGTTTAAATATTAATTATTATATCAAAATATAGTACAAATTAAGAAAAAATTGCAAAAAATACTTCTATTAGTGTCTTATAATACTAATAGAATGACATTTGGAAAAAAATTATACAAATATAAATATATTTTTAATGTTAATTAGAATGACGCAAAAAGGTAAATATGACCTTAGAGACGGACAGAGGGAATAATTTTTTATTGTGGAATTTGAGTTTGCACCCTAATAAATCGGAAGGCTAAGAACATGAATTTTATGGTCGACTCACAAAACTTCTCTGGGCTTAGTCTGGTGGGTAGATAATATGAGTTAATTGGTATGTCGTCAAGAACTAAAGTTGCATCTAGAAAGGCCTTGTAATGAGCATCCATTGAGACATATTCGCCACAGGGGTGAGCATCGGTGGATTCAAATCGAAAAAATCGAATTTTTTTTCAGTTCGAATTGATTGGTTTGGATTGTTCACTTAATTGGTTCGATTCGGTCCAAAACCGAATTTATAAATTTTGGTTTCGATTCGGTTATAGTTTTCAATTTTTAATTTTGATTAACCGAAAAAACCGAACTTTTAAAAATAATAATAAATTATATATTAATAAATAATATATATTATAATTTTGAGTATTTATATTGATTGTATATTAAAAATACATTAATAAATAAAAATTTGGTTTCTTCGGTTTTAAACCAAACTAGTTTGGTTCGATTTATTGGGTTTTTAAAAACTTTGGTTCGATTTCAGTTTCAATTTTGATAAACCGAAAACTAATCAGTTTAGTTCGATTTGAACCAAACTGACCGAATGCACACCCCTAATTCACGAGGAACCTATGGATTCCTAATCATTCTCTCCTATCTCAGATACACTTTGTTGCACTGGCTGTTGTTAGCTGTTCGGAACGGGGACTAGATATAAGTATGAGCGTAGGTGAATGCGATATATGTATATATTTTGTCGGCCAGATGAGTGTAGGTGAATTTTATTATATAATTTTACTTATTTTTTTTTCTAAAAACCATCAAACTAATTTTTTTATTATTCATCTTTTACATCATATTAAATTTACATCCAAAATATTATATACTTATCAATATCATATCCTACAATTATTTAAATTTAAAATTTTTATTAATTAAAACTCAAACATAAAACTTAAACTCTCAATCAAACACCATTAGATGAAATATTTTGTAGATATTTTTGTAGGTAATCAAGCAAAGAATTTGCTTCTTGTTCAATGAACTGGAGTCCACCGGACTATCAACAACCAAACATAAGAGGACTTCTACACCTAGTACTCAGTTAAAGAATCCAAAAAACGCCTAAGATTTAAAAAATGTTTTATATGAATCAAATCAGAACTATAACTTTAATACTTGTAACAATTTCCAATTTTTTAAATATGAATCGGCTGTATTCACTTATTAAAGTTTCTATTACTATATACTTTTTAATTTTATTTATATTTTCATTGTTGAAATTATATTTCCAATGATATATATATATATATCTTGCATTCCATTATGTGCAGGTATATGATAATCGAACCAAACAAATACTCGAAATCCCAAACCATATCCGAACCAAAAATTCGATTAACCGAAAATAATTGTGATATTTGCAAATAAGTCGAACTGAACCGAGATCAAGAAAAAATATATAAAAAAATAATTAAAATTCTAATTAAATAAAAAATATTTGCAAATATTTCAAATATTCGAATCAAAACAGAACCGAAATATACTTATTAATATAAATTTTAAAATATAATAGTTTAAATATATAAATATATTCGGTTCGATTAACCTAACCGAAAAAAAAAATGAAAAACCAAAACCGAACCAAACAAATATCAAATATACGGTATTTGTATTCGAACCAAATTTGCTCGGTTAACCAAAAATTCAATTTGGTTTAGTTCGATTCAGCGGTTCAATTCGATTATTTTGCCCACCCCTAATTACAAAATGTGAAATTCATAAATTAAAGCATCCATAGAACAAAATTAAAGAAAACAACTGTCTGCAATTATAAAGTGTAAACTCACACAAGACATGTGTATTTTGGATTGGCCCTAACATCACAAAAAAATAAAATCAGAAGTACCAAACGAGGTTCATAAAAACACAACTGATATTAGTAAAAGCACAAGACCTTAATCAAACAGGCTGAATCCCATATCGTCATCCGACTCCTCAGCCGGCTCATCTTTCTTCTCCTCCTCCTTGGGGGCGGCAGCACCGGGCGCAGCTGAGTCAGCAGCAGCAACAGGAACAGCTGCCACGGCAAATTTGCTAGGATCCTGCATTGACAATGAAGCAACCTTAAAAGTGACTGTTCCAACAAATCGATAATCCTAAAAAAGGGAAATATAACCAAAAAACATACTGCAAGATACTCCTTGACTTTGTCGGCTTGGGGGAAGGAGTAATCAGTTTCGACTGCAACAGCCAAGACATTCTTGTAGGCATTGATGAACATGTGGGGCGCAGCAGCCAGGGTTGGGTACGAAATGGCGAGGGATAGGGCAGTGACCATAGCAACACCAGATGCGAATTTCTCGATGAGGTCCTCTTCAGTCATGTCAAGCACCTCAGGACTGAAGACGGATCCATTTTCGTAGACAGTACGAACAATAAGACCGTATGAGAAGGGCCTGATGCCAAGCTTTGAAAGCAGTGCTGCTTCAGAGGAACCCACTTTGTCGCCCTTCTTGATAAGTTCGACTGGAGTGATGATTTCAACAGTTCCCTTGTTAATCTTGGTGGGAATGTTGAGTACCTGGAAGAATAGATAAATATTTAATTTAGAATCTCATTACTAAGATGGAAAATGAAATAATAATGCAATAATAACAAGGTATGGACCTGAAAGAAAGAAGTCTGGGAGGGGTCGAGACCAGTGTTGCCAGGGGGGACTATGACATCAATGGGGGCCACAAGACCAACACGAGCCGGTGCTCCAACCTGTCGAAAATAAGATATTAATTCCAACAACAAAATAAGATCAAAACAGAAGACGATGGTACAACCTTACAGAATTAACATTTAGAGCAGTTAATAGTATCTATTATTTCCGAGCATCAGATCAATTTCTTCATAGATTTGCTACTTAAGCTTCTTTTACCCATCTATCTAAAATTCTGCAAAGTGCAGACTTTCGAACACATAAAATTAGTAACTTTTTTGATATAATATTCAAAACAATAAAAACATGGAAGTATTGATTTCAGTTCAATCCTACACCATTCATACTCAAAATTATTGGTTTACAACATGAAACTAAAAATAAAAGTAAAATTGGGTACCAATTTAAGGGATTTCGATAATAAATCATTTTCTACCCAATCAAATTTCAGGTGATGTACCAAAAGCATACATTCAAAATGGATGCTGATTAAATATCCAAGACTAATCAAGGAAAGAGAACGGTACCCAGTAAACTAATAAGAACTAAAAATGTATTGTGAGGCATACCTTGTACTTGGCAACCTCCTCGCTGACTTCTTTCAAATCACCCTTGGTAAAGATCAATCCAACATTGCCCTGTTCAGCAATTATAGACAAAAAATAAAGAACACATTAAATTTCTAATGTCAATGAGATACTCACCCATAACATCTTATCCCTTCCAAGTAAGCACATCATAATAAACGCAGATTCAAAGGTGTTCTTCAGAGATACATAATAACAAATGAGTTTCCCCCAGTGGCTCTCAGGCAATCAGATTAATCGTCAAATAACGTACATAGCAGCAACGGACAGACAAGGAGACTTACAACGAGGAGAGGGATGAGGTTAAGGATAGCCTGATTTCCCGATTTCTCGGCGTGGATGCGAATGGTCCTCTTCATCATAGTGTTTTTACCCATGAGAACCACGGAGTCACCACGCAGCCCCTTCCGGATGTTCTGCAGTTGGTTGGATCCCACGTTGTCCGCCTCCGCCACCAAAACCTGTGTGTACTCATCCAGAAGCTGGCACAGCTTTTGGTCGTAGGCAATCTTCTTGTCGGCTTTCGTGAGCTTTGGCGCCATTGCTATCAACTACAAAGAAAGAAAAGTTCCTAGTTTACAAAACACAGGGCCAAGACGCAGCGGCGGCGGCTAGGTCAAGGCGGACAGCGGGCGGCGCCGTCACTTTAACCTGGTAAGGTTTTAGGGAAATGGAGAGATTTAGGGTTCGCTGCGACGAAGGTGAAGGTGCTGTGAGTGATTTTAATTTGAGAAAAATATTAATATATGATTGGATAGGCCCAGTTAGTTATTGGGCTGGGCTTTATATTATTTTGCTAAAATTTAGCATAGAAGCCTCTTTTTTTGTCCAATGTTGCGAATTTTCACTGTCATAAAAAAAATTAATAATAAATAAATAAATAAAATTACTTGCGAAACATTGATTTTGATTTTACTATTATTTTTAAAAAATAAAAAAAATTAAATCAACTATTTATTTTTATTTATTATACTCTTTGGTTCCTTAATTATCTATTCATTTTTTCATTGTTCAGTATCCATATTTTTTTTAATGGTACTTAACATTACAAATATCCTCTTAATTTACAATATATTACACAAATGTTATTATTTTTATATCATACAATAATAATAGGATTAATTTAATCTTTTTATCTTTATTTTTACTTTATCCCAATATAATACTAATATTTTTAAAACTATATAAATATGGAATAGAGAGAGTATTATATTAAAATTTAATTTTACATTCAAACTACTATTTTAATTCAAAATTTTACTATTTAAAACCAAACTCTCACAAATAAAAGTGATTTGGGTATATATAAGACAAAAATACTTATAATTTGGGTATGATTTGAAATAATAAAAGAATAAAATTTATTTAAGGATAATGACAATTAAATCTTATGTAATTTGTACTCCATCTGTCCTAAACACCTTGCAATTTTTTTTTTCCCAAATTCACGGTAATATTTTCAAATTCAGAAATAATTAATAATATTTATATACATATATTAATATATATTTCACTTTATCTCATCACATCACTCAAATAAAAAATTAAATAATCATTTGTGTCTCCAATCACATCACTTAATATCCAAATTATCTAAAATTACCATATTTAATATGTTTCATTTAAATTCTCATGCTAAAACACAAATGTTGCACAATATTTGGGATGGAGAAAATAGTATTTTATATTTAATAAAATATGAAAATTTAATAAAAACAAAAGTATTTAATGTCATGTAAAATTTTAAAGATATAGTTAATGTAATACTTTTAATAAAAATACTCCATGAAAAAAATCCAACATGATTTTTTTTTTCTTAATTTTGGTTGGTCATAATAATTTATTATTTTTAAAAATATAATTATATATTTTAATTATATTTTAAATTTTATAATTTATAATTTTTTAATTTTAATTATAATATACAATTATTTTTACTAATATAATTTTTAATTACTTACTAATTATATTATATTACTCACTCTGTTTCAAATAAGGTGCAACATTTACTTTTTGGTACGAGTTTTAGGTGAGTAGTATTAAGTAAGATTATTTAAAAATTAAGTGATGTGATGAAGAGAGAAATATATATTTTATTTCTTTATTTGGATGATGTGAGGAGATAAAGTGTGGGGTAAAGATTAAATATAATTAATTATTTTCTATTTTGGAAATATTGCAGTGTGTTTGGGACATAGAAATATTGCAGGTGTTTGGGACAGAGAAAGTAATAAATATTTTATATTAAATAAATAATTATTTAAAATTTGAAATTAATGGGATTTCCAACAACTATTGTTTTTTTTTTTTTTTTTGAAATATAAATTTTACATTTTTACATTTTATTCATTTATTACTTTTAATCTCTATCATACAATTAAGGACAAATTTATCGATTTATAAAAAAAAATAATCACCTAAAATACCCAGCAAATAAACTTCAGCACATTGGACGGAGGAGTAGTACTTTATATTAAGTATTAAAATTTTTAAAAATAAATAAAATATATACTAGTATTATATAGTGGAGTATATTTTTCTAATAAAAAATATATACAATTAAACAAATTAAAACCTTCCATCTACTGTTGACAGTAATGGAGTGTGAAAATCGATAATAAAGACAATAAAAATAATAACATAATAAAAAAAAATAAAGAATTAGATCGAGATTCTCTGCGATTGCTCTGCAAAACGTGAACGGAGACGAAACTCCGCCCAACTTCCGCCTTCCATGGCGCGGCGTTGACACTCGAAAAACCTCTACCCAAAACCCCCCAGTTTCAGACAGCGAATCGGCGCCGGATTTCGGTCGGAAGTTGGATTTGCTTCAGTAAAATTGAAGTGTGTGAAGATTCATATAGGTGCGCGTATTTGGACGGAGGAAGGGAAGAGTTTCCGATTGCAGAGATTAATGGCGTACAGGAGGAGGCAGCAAGTTGGGAGGGCTGATATCCCTTTTAATTTGGATTCTGCGCCTCCTGCTGCCGATAGTTCCTCCTCTTCGTCTTCTGCAACCTCTCTCGCTACAAAAGCTATACGAGCTTCCGCTGCGTATAGGGATTCATCGCTCTCTTCTGTGTACGAACAATCAGCTCTTTCTTCTCCGCGTGGCTCCACTCCGTCCGCTGTTAAAGTATGGTTTGATTTACTTACAGCTTTTGCTGTCATCGTTAGGTCTTTTATTCATTTTTTATGCTTATTAAGTGGTAATATCGATTTATATTTTGTAAGTGTTTGGGTTGGTCCGCATTTCTCAGGGGCAATTGATTCCTGATTGTTTAATTTTGATCCAAGAATCTGTTTACTGAAGGCTATTGTTAAATGAAATGCATTGATGTGTAATTTTGAAAAGTTGGAGTGAGAAATTGGACCTGCAATTGTTTTGTGGTTCCTGGTATGTACTTGCATTTTGTTTGTTTTTTTCGAAGTAAAGAGGAAAAATATGTATGTAGGAAAGAAGATCTGTTTTTGAGGATGTGAGATGTTTGACTGATCAGGTTTTCATTCAGAGTGATTTGTGTGCTATATGGTACATTTTAGCTATGGATTTAGTTATACCACACCAGAAGACCATAAATACTTTGCCGATTCTGCACATCATTGGAGAAAATGCATTAATGTTGTTATCACGATGACGACTGAGTTATTGGGATCCTGCAATGGTGTTTTAGATCTCCAGTGGTCTTGCAATCTAGCCTATGCCTTATCATAAGGGAATGTTGAGAACTAGTTGATGGATTCCTAATAACGGAAGCTGTATGTGAATCTTGGTTCACAATCCCTCTACCTTCCATTTATATTTTTTTTCTTTCTCTCAGCCCCGCGTGTTTGTTTGTTTTCATTATAATTGGGTATAATTGATTGTTCTATTCATTATATCAGTGGCTAGATTTTCTTGCAAAGCACTGCCCGAAATATGCTCCTCTGATTTTCATGTATCTTGGAAAAAATTTAAAGATAAGATTATCTTCATGATTATATGATCAAACTTCACTTCTAGTAATATGTTTAGCATGCAGATCTAAAAACACATCTTATATGATGGTGAAATGATCATCTCTCTGTGAAATTTAGGATTCCTCCATCCATGATTATTCTCCAAAGAAGAACATTAATGAATCTAAGCAAGGGTTCTGGGGCGTGTTAGCTCGGAAGGCTAAATCTATTCTCGATGATGATGTTGATATGGCTCAAACACATGAAACTACTGGAGATAGAAACTTCCGAGCATCTGATAGAACTACAAAGGGTCAGGTGTGAACTTCATTAACTCACGTTCATCATTTTTTACATCCTGTGTAAACAATATTTAGTTTATTGTGGGTAAATGTGATTTTCAATCTTGTAAAGAGTTAGGCTGAGCAAGTACTCTGCCCATAACTTTCTAAAAGATACAGGTATTCAATGCAGTCGACAATACTATATTGTGATGCAACAAACTACTTACTTTTATGCCTCTTCTTTCATGTGCAGTTCTATAGCACATATGATGCCCCTGATAGTCGCCAGAAGAAAGAGGGTCCTAAATTACAGAAGGGTCTAGATGCAATTGCATCATCTCTTAATTATATTGGCGGTACGATTGGTAATGCACTTGAGGTAAGTTCTTCCTGTTCTCTAGATTCTTTCTTTGGTTGGATGGAAAGGGATTTCCAAATCAAGTTATGGTTTTTGTTTAGTGATTATGATAAATGACTAAAACTGGACTCTCTTTTAACACACACACAAATAAATTAATAAATATGCAAAAATAAAATATTTGAAAAGAAAAGTTGCAGCAGACAGTTGTTTCAAGCACCCCTGCACGATAGTCATATATTATGTATAGTTTGTGTTATTTCGCATAATTTATCATGTATACAAAAGAACATATATACTACACACGATATTAATCAATTGAATACATGAGATTTATTACTCATAGTTTTTCTTAGACATAGTCTAATTTAAATCTGTATATAATTTATTGTACAAACTAATATATTTACAAAGATATATTATAATCAGGGATCTATCTCTGATTTATGTGTGTTGTGTCCATGCATAATCAATTACATGGATGCACTTAACTCTGAGTGTAAGGTGCCCCGTTGGGGAATTAAAATCTAACTGATGTGTGCCACCCACCCACACACACACACACATAGATATATATATATGTATGTATATAATAATTTGCACAAATCAAGTAGTAGAGAGTTTTAGCAGACTTTATGTTACTTTCGAGTTATTCTTCAGCTAAATTTTATGTGAAGGTAATACTTTTTATTTCTCATTAGGTTAACTAGCTGTATATATCTTATACATTGGAACCTAAGACATAACCAAAATAATTTATCGTGTTAATCTAATTTAGGTTTCATTCTAAAGTACCTCTCATGGCAGATTTTTGTTGCTACCTTTTTAACCTAATGCTGCAGAATGTTAACCTTAACTAACATTTATTTTCAATTTATACTTGTACTGTGTTTGCATGCAGGAGGGTATCACTGCAGTCGAAAACCGCACTGCAGACATAATTCAAGAGACTCGTAAAATTCAAATAAGAAAAAAGAGTGGTAATTCTGGATCACAGAACCAAGCATCAAATCTTGGTAGCTTGAGACAACAGCATCTGATGCAGACACATGTGCAGCCTCAGATGCACACTGATTTAGACACACAACTGAAGGCATCTCGCGACGTAAGGTTGCAACTGTGTTGCAAGGTTTTTATAACCTAATTACCTAATTAATTTGCACAGCTTACGAACTGTTTTATTTTACTTGCATATAATTCTCATCTAGAAATAGGAATCCTCCCGAGTCCCGACCTAATTTTAGATTGTGCTTCTGATGAATCTAATCCCTATGCATGGTCTAAACTATGCTAACACGATTGATCTTAAAGGAAACCCGTTTTTTTAGCTATTTAGGTTTGATTAAGCTAATGTAATATTTCCTTACAACAAATTACAAAAAGTGCTAACACGTTGGATTCAAGATAGTAAACTTGAGAAATTTTTCACCTCTTATTGCTGGATTTCCAATGAAGACTTTTAGGCTTGTTTGGTTGTGTTTTATATCACTCTCATCAGAATACTATATGATTATAGAACATCTAATGCTGCATTATCTTATCTTATGTAGAGGTAATTTTTAATTAGGATCTATCATATTAGAAGCTCTGGATATATGATAAAATGCAGATCTCTGTAACATGTTTTTAAGTTCCTCATTGACACTAGTTTGATACATGTGCTCTAAACTTCAGGTTGCTATGGCAATGGCTGCTAAAGCTAAGCTTCTACTGAGAGAGCTTAAAACAGTCAAGGCTGACTTGGCCTTTGCTAAGGAGCGCTGTCATCAGTTGGAAGAAGAAAACAGAATCCTCAGGGCAAGTCATGAGAAAGGTGGCAACCCAGAAGATGATGATTTGGTGAGTGATAATATTTTTTGCAAAAGAAATAAAAAGGAAACAAACTCGGATCTGTTCATGGCCACATCAAAGATGATGGCTACTAACTTTCACTTCCAGAAACTTGAATATTTGGATAATCTTCATGATTTAGCACATGGAAGTTTATTCAAACCCATTTATTTTAAAACTATTCATAGAGATTCCTCCAATTGATTTTCTGAGGTACGAAAATAATCACAGCTGATGATCCATTAGTTATATCTCAAAAACCTGACCCATCTCATGAATATTTTCCTCAAATTACTTTCCTTCAACGTTTTCTATTGACATATTTTGTATAATATCCTAGCAGAGGTATTTAAAGATTTTTGCTAAAATTTTAAATCATCTTAGGTATGCACTAATTACTTGCGGAAGTTATCTTCCCTTGCCAACTCTTGAAGTAGTTGCTCTAAGTGATTTTTCTAATGTATATACATACTATATAGTATATACTCTCTAATCTTTATCTTAATCTTCAATTCTGTGTAAGTGATATCTGGATATAAATTTTAGGATCCTTATTTCAGAAACTCATTAACTTTGTGTTAACTTTCTAGGGTTAGGGTTATGTAGAACCTTTAATATATTTCAATATGTGTATATATCATTTAAAAAACAAGATTGTAAATTTTGTTCTAATATTGTTTTCAATGTTTATATTTAAGAACTTCTAGACCAAGAAAGTTTATTGCTTTAAGGGTAGTGCTCTTTTCATATCATAATGCTGGTCCCATATGTTAAAACACTTTTAAATGTCAAATGTGTGCTTAATGTGTACATACCAGACTTTCATGCATGGATGTCCAACTCTAACATGCTTCATGGGATCGAAACAATTCAACTGGTCGACATAATTTCCTGTTTAAGAAAAAGTTATATGCCAAGAACAGATAACTCATAGTTGGGTGCAAGCATTCAAGGGAAAGAGGTTGATCTTTTGTCTTGCTTCTTCTTGCAACCGAAGCTATTGATGCATCGTAATACATATGCTCTAAACATAGACCTATACTGATTTCTTATCGTTGCCTCCTTTATTAATTTTGATTCAATAGTGTTCCTGCAAATGCTTCATACACAGATTGTCTATGTTTACTTCTGATGCTGAAGATAATTTCATCCATTTTCCTTGCAGATAAGGCTGCAACTTGAGTCCCTTTTGGCCGAGAAAGCCCGACTGGCCCAAGAAAACTCAGTCTATGCACGGGAAAACCGTTTCCTAAGGGAGATTGTTGAGTACCACCAGCTCACCATGCAGGATGTCGTCTACTTGGATGAAGGCAGCGAAGAGGTCACCGAGGTTTACCCCCTCAAAATTACGACACAACCCTTTGGCACAATGCCAGCAACCCCAACCCCAACCATACCCCATGGTGCAATTCCACAGACTACCCAGAATCTAATTTCCAGCTCTTTGTCATCCCAAGAGCTTAAAGAGCCACCCCAACCTGCCAATCCATATATCCAAATCCCGGCAGATGCTAGAAGACACTAGCCATATCCCCACTGGGCTGCCAAAACTTTCCTAATATTCAAAAATATTGCTCCAGGTTTGTGCCCTTCTCTGTTGTTCTTGTTTGTAAAGTTGGTGAGGAACGATTATATTTCTTTTTTGGATGTAAATTGTTGTGGTAACCTGTGATTTAGACTTGGATTCGTATTCATTTCAAGATAGAAGGATGTTTGTGTTGTGCTTATTGACTTTGTGAAATTGCCCCATGAACATTTTTTATCTGGTGCTAAATTATAGCTAGAATTTGTCAGACCCCTTGAATTATGTCATGTGTTGCACGTTACTTTGAGATATGATGATTTATTTGCATACATTTTCTAGGCGCAACTTATTTGTTACAACACTTGATTTCCTTTCTATGTAGATTTGTCCAAACAATTCAAATTCCATTTTGATTTGTCAAGATCACAAACTAAAACAAAAATTTCTAATAAGTCAGTGTTTTTTCTATTCATTTGACAAATTTTGGTTCCTATAGTTTTGGCTCAGAATTATTGGTTTACGACGTGAAGTACCAATATTTATTTCTTCCCTCATCCCTCTCCTTTTGTTTTCCCCATTTCGATTTCAATGAATTTAGTTTGACTATTGGTTACATAAAGTATACTACTGCTTCCGTCCGGTCTAAGGGTATCTCTAACCTAACGCTAGGTTGGATAATTTGGCGTCGGTTGGAATCGACGCCAAATCCAGCGGCATTTTTTTGAGTTGCTACGCAACACCAATATAAAAAATGCGTTGCTTTCTTATTTTTTTTTATTATTTTTTTAATTTTTAAAATTTTAAATTTTAAATCTTAAATTTATTTATTTTTTCTAAATTTTTTAAAAAATTATTTTAAATTATAAAAATAAAAATTTTGTTGAGAAAATTGAATATTTGAAGAGTAATAGTAAAAAATAGAGTTATGGTTAAAATAAAATTACTATAGCAACTGCTTAAAGTTAAACAGCATGATGGGTTGAAGATGCCTAAGGATTCTATTTTGAATATTAATTATTATATAAAAATGTAATACATACTAAGGAAAAATAACAAAAATAGTTATGTTAGTGTCTTATAATATTATTACGATATTTGTTCAAAAAAATAATGTTAATTAAATTCATAATTATAATTTTCTTAATATTAATTAAATTATGTAATTATTTTAATTTTAATTTATAATAATTTTTATTATATAACATGCAAGTCAGCGAACCTGTTTGGGTGATGACCTGAGCCTAAACTTTATATTTATAATAACGTGGAATGGTATAAAGAGTCAACACCCTACGTGTATGAAGTATTTGTTAGGGGTAATTTTGGGAACAACAAACCTGAGCCTTGTGTGCTGTAATAAATGGGCCAGCATCAGCCCAAAAGTTTAATGGCCCATAACATTGAAATAAATATTTTAAGAAACTGCGCTTTATTTATTTATTATAAATTGGTCAGCAGGCATTTGCATTCCTGTTCTGTACCCATCTGTCATTTTGTGACCAACTAGAAGCTTCAACGAACCCTAATCTGCGAATTTCCGGCGAGAAAAGCATGGGGAAGCAGCCGGTGAAGCTGAAGGCGGTGGTCTACGCGCTATCGCCGTTCCAGCAGAAGGTGATGCCGGGCCTCTGGAAGGATTTCCCCTCCAAGATCTCCCACAAAGTCTCCGAAAATTGGATTAGCGCCACTCTCTTGCTCGGTCCTCTTGTCGGCACCTATTCGTGAGTATATTATTTGATCGTCGTTTTATTTATTTATTTAGATCTCGTTGATGCGGGTATGATCGTTGTTGGATTTTCGAATCGATTGTTGCTTTGCGCGTAGGGTGAGTGGCTCGGTGTTTTGTTGTGTTTTTCTATTTTTCTTATGATCGCTTGAATTTGTTAGATCGGGTCCTGTGTTGCATATATTTTTCGGATTGATGGTGATTAGATGATTTGTTAATTTGTCCTGCCATTGGTGCATCGAAATGAAGCGTAATTTCAGCTGTTTTGTTTCCTTGTTCAATTTGATTTCCACCATCGTTATCATATGCTATTATTGTAGATGGATGCCTGTAGCCTGTACCTTCTACCATAACTGGATATCTTCCATGGACGAAGGTTAAACTTACAATTGTGTGGGTTATCATTTGATTGAATAAAATATAATGAAATCCTTCTAGACATTGTAGTTGTCTAGTCGATTAATTGCTATTTCTTGTTCGGGGTGTGTTCTTTTATGTTTTCAATTGTTTCGAAATAAATTTATTTTGAATAGAATTTAGGTACAAAAACACAAGTTTACACACACACCTTTGGTTTCTTTCTTCATTTTTTTTTCGCTGTGTTTGATTTGTTATAGAGAAACTTCAGCTGTTTTGTGTTTGTAATGAATGAAGGAGTTTTGGTTTACACGTAAAGATCATTAAGTTGGCATCAGTTAAAACCGTGGAGGGTAAATTAAGTTCTAAACTAGAGTTCTTCCAAGAATTTTCATTGCTTCCTATCTCTGTGTTGAAGTTGCTCCATGATGCAATCAATGCATTGCTAGTGTAATATTGTGGTCAAAATCAACTTTAAATTCAGTCCTATATTGGGCTTAACCGCCAATAATCTCTTAAAAGATCTTGAAATCCTTGGAAGGTTCTAATTTTTGGTTGATTGAATATTTGGTACCCGAAAATCATTTACTCTAAGCCTTACGTGACATTACTATAAAAGGTTTACATCGTGCCCCTGTTCTTCAAATATCGGTCAACCTATACCTTGTTTGTATATTTATTTTTTTGCAGAAGTGTGGTTTTAAAACTATATACTATTCTCCATCGTAATTTAGAAATTGCATGAGGCTTTTTGTGTTTTACAAAACATTGCATTGAATTCCCTAAAAAGTTGGAGGACGCTTCCTCGTGTTTCTGAAAACATGTACATAATCATGTTTTTTGAAACATTGCACATAATTTCTTTTTAAAAGAAATTATGTGCAATGTTTTCGAAAACACAAACGAGCCTAATCATGAGGACAAATGGTGTTAAATTTTTAAACATCAGGTGGATTATAAGAATTTTTTCCTTATTTTTCCCCATTTCTGTTTATTGAGCATTCTCAAAAGTTGAAACAAATGAAATTGTATACCTTTACGTACGGATGTGTTTACTTTGTATTTTTTTTTTTTTTTATGAATGTGTCTTTTATGTTAGATTTTGGGAATCGTATTGTTAATATTAAAAATATTAAAAATATATATATTATATATAATGTGCTAACATGTTTATACATTAAATTTTTTAGTAATATTCACAGGAATTGTGCCACAAAGAATTTGTGGGCTGACAAACCTGTTGTTTTGGCAAAAAGAATTCTTTTTTTTTTTTTTTTTTCGATGCCACCATTTAATTGAAAATAGATGAGTAATTTTTGGAATATCTTGCAATGGACAACGAGGCTAGGTGAATTTCTTTTAATTCATGTAACCGATTGTGTGCTGTTGGATGAGCAGTTTGAAGGGATGATCTGATTATGTTATTGTTTTCAGATACGTGCAGTGGTATCTGGAAAAGGAGAAGATGGAACACAGATACTGAAGGGGCTATTGCCGACTAATTTCGAGTTTTTACGAGGTAATAAAGACAAGTTGTATTTGGCCTGCGGTTACTGGTGCAGGTGATGGATCCTTAGTTATTGGTGTTTGTTGTTCATTTCAAATTTATCATGCAGTGATTCAAATGCTTGGAAATGCATTTGCTTTTTGTCCCCTTTGCTACACTTCAAAATAAAAGTTCTTTTTTCATTTTATTTTGAACTTTTAAGTACTAAATAAACGGCTAAAAATGTACGTTCTCCGTCCAAATGGAATGTATTATTTTACTTGTTTTATTAGTGGCCAAGAAATAATATTTCCTACATCCATCGTAATTATGTCACTTTTTTTTTTTATAGATTTATAAAGAAGATGACATAATTTATGGTGGATGAGGTGTATTTGTTTTGTGTTTTGGTTTGAAGAAATATTTTTTTATCGTGAGGTACAATTATAAAAATAATAAATGTACGTAGTATATTAATTTTTTTAATTTTTTTAGGAAATGTGTTGAGAAATTTTTGTTGGAAGAACAAAGTAATATCATATTGATTCGTGAAAGTGTATTAAAATTGTTTTGATATTTTTGTCTTACGAATATTTTTGAAAAATTAGGGTGATTTTTGGTATTTATATATGAATATTTTATTTATTTATTTATTTTTAATTATAATAGGAAAAAATTGTTTTCGAATGAGAAGATCAAAATGATAAAAAAGAAGAAGATATATTTAGCTGAGACTGGAATTTATATACTATTATACTTGTATTTTAGACGAATAAAGCTAGTATTTATTTATTTATTTATTTTGTATCAGAAAAAATGTGTATATAAAATTGTGTAAATCCGGAAGACTTGTATCTAGTCTATTTAAAGATGGATTATGCAATAAATTTGGTGAAACATTGTAGTTATATTAAAATATAAAAATTATTTATATATTATGCTACTGCAGTTTCATTATTTTTTTGCCATTGTTTCTCTTACTCAGAGTGTTCTAAAAATTTTGTTGTAGCTTTTGTGTGTTTTTTTTTGGATTTTTTCTCTTTTATTAATTATAAATATAATTTATCAAAATTGGTTATGGCAATATTTCGGCCTATGGATTTGATTTAAAACTCATCTTGAACCTATTTAAATTACAAGTTTTAAAATTAATAATTTCTTTGTAGGAATATTTGTGGTATATTTGTAAATAAGTGTAATATTGTATGGTATAAATGAAGAGAGTGTAACAATTATTTACTATAACTAAAACTTATATTATCTCGAATCGTGTAAACGTATTTTATGTTTGTCCGCCTCGCAGTAACGTGTATACTCTCTCTTATTGGGAGTAGCACGAGAATTAAAGAATAATAGTATTTAATTGAAAGATGATATAAAGTAGAAAGTAAAAGATTACAATATCTTGCTTTTTGAATGATTTTAAAATATAGGTTAGAGTAATAACTAGGGGTAGTTTGGAAAAGTACTAATAATTTTGTTATAAAGTAGGAACTACAATTACTAAATAAAAAAACAACACACTCATATCTTCCGGGTCCACTCTTGGCTAAGTTCTTTGGGCGGGACGAACGAAAATGGAAGAGGAAATATATTTTATTTAGTAACTATGAATCCTATTTTCTTTTATAAATATTTGATTTTACAAAAAATCAAATATTTTCTTAGATAAAAAAAAAAAAAAAAAAAAAAAAAAGAAAAAAGGAACATATATTTAGAATGCCGTGGGAGAGAGTATTAAGGATGTTATTCTGGCTTTGTTCTTTTACCCAAAAAAAACTTTTAACATATTTTTTTATAAAAAATTAATATACTGAAACACTTAATATTATTTTTATACTATTATTTACACTATTATCTATATATTATATAAAAAATATTCTTTCAACCATACACAAAACAAATACTCATTGGTTTTTTTTGTGTTACACAAGTTCATTTATTCATGTAATAATAAGGTTAAATTACACAAATTCTGCTGGTTTCATAAAATTATACAAAATCTTTCATATCTTTAAAATTGCGTTTCACAATCGTTTAACTTGAACGCGCTTAAAACGTGAATAAATTTCGGAATTTTATTTTTAAATCCTTAGAATTACAAATATACTCATTATTCTTATTAAGTAACCTTAAAAAATATACTTAAAAATAATTATTTTTATCTTATTTTAAGAAATTTTTTAAGGGCTAAATATAAGAAATAAATATATTTATAATTTTAAAAATTTAGAAATGACTATTCTCAAATTCATTCGCATTTTGAGCATGTGTAAGTCAAATATCGTTAAATTAGGATAATCGAGAGAGTTAGACGCAGAGTTTATAAGATTACGATTTAAATTTGACAAGGTTTTGAAAGTTTAGAGATTTTGCACAATTTTATAAAATCACAGACAAATTTGATGCAATTTAGTCTTATAATTTTTTTTAAAAATTCTACTCTAATCTTCTTTTAAGACTATTATAGGAAGATAATACAGTTGACATAGCTAATTAAAATGATGATATATTAAAAAAATAGAACAAAAATATATTTCATCAAAATTTTATTTACTCATTATTTTCAAAAAAATGATGAAATAAATGTACTCCGAATTCGATGAAATGATATTTTAACTGATTTATTAGCTAAAGTTTTACTTCAATATTCGAGAAATTAGTAAAGAATATCGGGATGCGTCAATCAACAAAATTTTAAATAAAATTTATATAAGAGGAACTGTTTATTAATCATAAATGACATTTTTTTTTTTTTTTTTTTATGTGATATACAGAAAAGAATGACTTATGCATAATGTAATTGTCTATAAAATAGGCTTGTTGGAAATGAAATGAATACATATCTATCCATTACTTCCTCTCACTCCTATCTCTCTTTCTCTAAGATAAGCACACTTTTACATATATCCATATATATTAGATAATATAATTATTGTATTCATTATATTACATAACATTTTTAAATTTAAAATTAAGTGAAAATTCAGTGGAATTTGAATTTACTATTTATATAATTGGTAAGAAATTTGAATGTTTTTCAAAAATAATATAAAAAAAATATATAGAGAATATATTTTTAAATTGACGGTTGGTAGCTATACAAAAATGAAAAAAAATGAAAGAATGAGTTAGAGATGATCTAGAGTGGAACAAAACTTACTTCACATAAGAATATAAGATACTCAATTATTTCATACTTCATCCGTCTGCTCTAAGTGTCTCATTTATCTTATATTTAATATTAAAATATTTTTATATTTATATAATTTTTTTTTACAAATATCATTATATTTTTTGTCATTTTTTCTTAATGCGTATACGTTTTTATATAATAATTAATATTCAAATATCAAGACGCAAAAGTTAAATGAAACTTTTAGAACCGAACGAAGGTAGTATTATAATGCTGAAAACTAAATTCAATGCAAAAAGCTTACATGTAATAAATTTGTATGCATGTATTTACATTCCAAGCTAAGGTATTTGAATTTGCGAGGGATTTCATCTCTTTATTTTGCATTTTTGAATGAATATGCTTTTAATATTAGATATAAAGAATTGTATCACTAATATAAAAATAAATTATTTACTTTTATATACACTCTCTTAACATATAACACTCTTTTTATTGATAAATGTATACAAGTCAAATAAGATTTATAAACAAGATATACTCTAGAGGGACAACTTACATGTGACTTAACATTAGCATACATCAAAAGAACATATAACTTTCATCTTCTTCTATATAACACGATACAAAGAAAGGTTTCAAGCCAAGGCATTGTAATTAACACGAAATGTTTCACTTAAAAGCAATCAAATTCATCTCATCTACGTAGCAAACGGTATCATATCTTAAGCAGCAGTTGTACCTGGAGGTAGCAAAAAAGCTCTCCCGGGTCGACGGTTAGCCAGCCGTCCGTGACATCCCAAAAGCTGCGAAAGGTTTTCGGACAATATCAGAACCCAAAAGGATTCAATTATTTCAAATATTATCAACAAATCTCGTTTAAATGTTATTGTAACAAACATACCTTGGCATTGACACCATCAGGCACAATCCTGTTCTCCGATTTCCACTTCAAGAAGTCATTGCGACTGAATTTGGTGAAACCCCTGAAAAAAAAATAAAAATCCATCATTTCAGAAGTAAGTTTCTGAATTGGATATGCTAGCAAATGCAAAAGGGAAGCAACATACCATTTCCGGCTAACAATGATCTTTTGACGGCCAGGGAATTTGAACTTGGCACGGCGCAGAGCCTCCTGAGCATGGTGGCTGTTGGCATCTTTGCAGCGCACGGAGAGGAGGACCTGGCCTATGGCGACGCGCGCACATGTACCCTGAGGCTTTCCGAAAGCACCCCTCATGCCTGTCTGGAGCCTATCAGCTCCAGCACACGACAACATCTTGTTTATACGAAGAACATGGAAGGGATGGACTCGGACTCTCAAATGGAAAGCATCCTTTCCAGCAAACTTGGCCATGTACTTGTTGCAAGCAATTCGGGCAGCCTCGAGTGCCTCACTTGAGACATTCTCTTTCTCCCAACTGACCAAGTGCACACAGAAAGGAAATTCGTCTACTCCCTTCTTTTTCATTCCCACGTCATAAATTCTGATCTTCGGATCAGGCACACCACGGCAGTACCTAGATTTTGGATAAGGTTTGTTCTTGATTTGGCGGTAGCACCTTGCAGGTCCTAGATAATAGAATATTCAGGTTATTGAAGTTAAAATTACATCTCAGCTAAGCAGCTGCAATATAGATTCCTACATTGTAATTCACATGAAACTTTGATAATTGGATTCTACAACTGGATTATCATTTTACCAACCACAACAACAAAATTCAGGAATCGTAACAACTCTTTAAAATTCAGAAGCTTGAACGACTCTACAGAAACACATGTTGCAGAAACACAAATATGATATAAAGCTTATATAATGAAGGAATGCCATCGCCACTTCTCAGATGTTTATAAAATAAAATCATACAATCCTTTGATCAAACTCTCTCAACCAATAAATAAAAAAAAAATCACGAAATCACAGAAAACAAACTACTCTACACGCACATATAGTTGAAATAAAATCATACAATCCTTTGATCAAACTTCTCATATGTTTGTGAAATAAAATCATACAATCCTTTGATCAAACCCTCTCAGCCAAGAAATATAAAAAATCATGAAATCACAGAAAACAAACTACTCTACACGCACATATGGTTGAAATGTATTATAAAACTCATCAAAGCTAAAAATTGGCATACGACGCCTGAAATTTCACAAATCATATGGTTGACTAACACGAACAGTACAATAGAACAAAATTCATGGAACGAAAACAGCATTCACGTCATTCTCTCAGTAAATCAACCAATCAAACAAACAAAAAAACAAATTAAACTGAATTCTCTAGAAAGCATACAAATCTAAAGCCAATCGAGGGGCCATTACTCATCAACCAAACAATTTTCCTGCCAAAACGAACCAAGATACACAAAAACATGACTACAACAGCAGAGATTCAAAACTACCATGGCTATTGAAACATCAAAACTTACTTCTACCCATGGCGAGCTCTCTGCCGTTCACACGCTGCCTGACCGACGAAATTGAGAGGGAAATGAAAGAAAGGCATGGGTTGCGAACTCATTTTATAGTACACGATTGGCGCGTGGGCTTACGTATTGGCTGCCGTCACGTCATGGATCGTTGAAAAGTCAGCCAAGTCCAGAAGCTTCTGGACTCCGTGTTTAAGTAATATTGTGGGCTTATTTTATAGCCCATAAAAACGTAAGCCACGTCCAGAAGCTTCCGGGCTTAGGGCTGTTTGGTGGGTTTTTAGATATTTTTTAGTATTTTAAATTTAAAAAACTTTTGATAGAAAATAAATATTAATGTTATCTTTTAAATAAAAATTATTTTCACAAATAATAGATATATGCAATGACTTATGTATATATATATATATAGATATATTCAGTGTGTATGTGTGTGTATATATATATATATAATATATGCATGAAAATGTGCAAGACAAAAAATAAAAAAAAATAAAAAAAATTAAAGTCCATTTAGACAAAAAACTTTTTGGAGTTATAAAGTTTCAAAATTTTAGAAATAGCAAAAAAATGAGCATATGATGAAATGTTTATGAGAAAAGAATATTTAATTTGATATTTTTAAAAATTGAATAGTATCGAAGTTTTCAAAAGTACTATGGATACATAACAAAATAAGAGTGTTTTAAACTAATATGTGTGCATTTTTTTCATTCCATTATTGTCTATATTTATAGGTAACTTGATATTACATGACTACAAACACGTACGTTAAAAGCCATTACGAGAATTGTTGCAATTACGAACACCGGTAGGTTTGCTTATATTACTCTCTATATTTGGTAAGGCTTTCTTTAAGCATTCATCAACGGATAGATTGAATATTTGGTTGATGGTAAGAAATTTGCTTTTGGTTATGAATTTAGTATGAAAGTGTGTGGGGTGTGAGAAGATGTCGTATTTTAGTCCAATATATATTTCATCAGTCTGCTAAATTTACTTTCATTTTCATTTTTAGTATGTCCGCTAAATTTAACCCATTACTAATTTTGGCAAAGTCAACAAATTAAACATTTAACTATTATGTTCAATTCAACACTTATTTACAACAAATGTCGTTACATTTATTACATTCTATCTTCTCATTTTTTAAATTTCTAAGTTACTTTTCAAAAATACCTCCAACTATCTTTTTACTTTTATCACTTTTCAATAAAATATTTATTTTTCTTAATCTCCGTGCTGGACCCAAATGTTCCAATTTTTGCGGATGGAGGGAGTATATATATATATTTATCAAATAATAGTTTTTTCTTTATGTTAATTTGTGAGTGGCGGATTGAACTCAAGACATTCGTGTAAGAAAAAATTCGAGCAAGGAAAAGTGCGAGCGTATGAATCGAGACTTGAATTGAAGTGCATTGAATTTAATTATATATTATCAAATTTAAATGCAAATGCAGAATTAAAAGTTGCTACCGTATGAATGAGCTCTTAGTAAAGTGTACTGTGAGATTAGAAGTAAGGTGAGCGTAGGGGTTGCAAAGGGGTAAATGAATGCATTTTAGGTTGTGTTCTTTTGTGGATTTTACCGCAAATTTTGAGTTGGAATTTGACTAATAAAAATTTTGAATTTGAATAGTTATATGATGTGATATAAATAGGTGTTGATGTGATGTTTTGAATGTAAAATTGATTTTTAGTATAATATAAAAAATAAAAAAATAGGTATTTGATTTGATGTTTTTGGGAAAAAAATAGAATGAACAGTGGAAATCCAAACAAATCCCTCAAACAAACACATCCTTAAAACATCACATCAACCTCAATTTATATCACATTAAACAATCATTCAAATTTAACTTTTTACTATTCAAAAATCCAAATCTAAAACCTAAAACCCACGAACAAACACACGCTTAGTGTCTAATGAAATGATAATTAGATATGAATGTGAGAAAATGGAGGAAAATGCCCACCAAATGGATGATGGTGAGTGCGAGATATATATATATATATATATATACTTCATGCGTCAGAGTATTGCATGAAAATGATTACAAAAGATATTTACTTTATTGTATTGTGAGTTGTTCTTATCGATATTTACGATTGATAAATCAATTGGTTACTTATCTGTTTATCTTTTCACTATTTTTTTAAGTCAAATTGAGTTTAAAGAGTCACTTTTGCGAGAGTTTGTCTACCTAGTAGCATGATTTCCTTTCAGATTGATTTAACTAGATTTTATTAGTTGACTTATGTTTGTGTTGTAGTCTCATTATCTTGAGGTACTAAGTATTTATGTCAAGTATATATCATGATTGAGAATGTGATGGAGAAATTGCAATATTTTATTACTTAAAAGCATTAAGTGAATTGAATATTGTGATTACACTATGAATTTAACATTGCGAGTTAGACTACAATTCAACTTGCGATTTATATTAAAAAACTTGTAAATTTATCTAAGTATGAAAATTAAATAACATGTTACGAGAATGCGACTCCTATCACAAGTACTGCCAGCCATCCGATTGATTATATTTCGTGATTGATTAGAGTTCTATATTGCACAATTTTCACAATCTGATTACTTTATTATATTTTTATCTATATAAGACATGTCTTTCAAGCTAGCTTAGCCGATGAAAAAAAATATATTAAACCATTCAACTAAGTATAGATTAGATTAAACTACGAATTCAAATTTCATTTCAAATTACAATAAAACAAACTACTCAATGGACCATGTTCATCCATTTAGATAAAAATATAATTGTTGATGTAATTTTTCAACAAAAATAAAGTAAAATTCAAAGATATAGAAAATATCCTTAAACTTGATTAATTAGTGCCTGAGATTAGGAATCTCTAAACACTGTATAGTACAGAAAATAAACTGGAAAATAAAAGACTGAAATTTAAAGTGGTGATCCCCAAATCTGACTTTGCTTTGTTGAAGTTGATTGAAGATGCCTTGCCAAATGATGATTCAAACCTTTAAATATTCTCTGGGAAACCGTACTGAAAACCGTCACCCGAACGGTTACAACGTCTCCTTCCCAACCGTCTTCCAACCCTTTTCATGCTGACACGTGTCCTCAGCAGACCAAAATTATCCTTATATTTCACTCTTTGAGCCGACCACAGACCTTCCGCTCTTTTGGCCCGACTTCGTCCTTCGCCCGACCTGCTTCTTTGCCCGACCTCACTTGGGCCGACCTCCGCATCAGCCGCCCTCCGTCTTCGACCGAAGACCTCCGCGTCTGTCCGTACCTCTTCCTTGCCTGACCTTCCTCTTAACAGACCTTCGCGTCTGCCCGACTTCGGTCTGGATTCTTGAGATCTTAACTTTCTTCATTTTCCCGACCTGAAAGCCTCCCGACCTGCGGACTTCCCGTCCTGATGACTTTCCGTCTTGAGGACCTACCGACCTGAAGACCTTCCGTCCTGATGACTTTCCGTCTTGAGGACCTCCCGACCTGAAGTTCTTCCGACCTGAGGTCTTTCCGTCTTGAGGACCTACCGACCTGAGATCCTTCCGACCTGAGGTCTTTCCATCTTGAGGACCTCCCGACCTGAAGACCTTCCGACCTGAGGTCTTTCCATCTTGAGGACCTCCCGACCTGAAGACCTTCCGACCTGAGGTCTTTCCATCTTGAGGACCTCCCGACCTGAAGACCTTCCGACTTGAGGTCTTTCCGTCTTGAGGACCTTCCGTCTTGAGGACCTACCGACCTGAGGACCTTCCGTCTTGAGGACCTACCGACCTGAGATCCTTCCGACCTGAGGTCTTTCCGCCCTGAGGACCTTCCGTCTTGTATTTTCCTTAGAAAATAAATCTATTTTCCTTGATTTCCTCACGGTGTCCTTCAGCCAGTTCAATCAACCCTATTGCTAGGCCCATTCTTCTTTTCACCTTGGGCTTTTAACCTAATTCTAAATTTCGTACGTAACAACTTGCCCGCCGCCAAGGGACTTTCAAACGCCATTTAACAATCAATGTTTGGAAGTTCATAAATCACTACCTTCTTGAAAAATTCCCTTAGCAACTGCACCAGTTACTGCAATACTCCTGGTTAACTTCTTTCTCCGCAATACAAGCCTTTGTGAATCATAATCCCAAAACACTCTAACTATGGCAAATCAATACATTCCTGCCCTTCCTTTCGACGGAACCCTCCCGGAGGGCCCATTTTCAGCCTCGAAAGTACTAACTCCGACGATCCGTCCATACTGCACTACTCCTGAAGACTCAAATCGGATGAGGGAAGTTTTGGAATCCCGAAATTCCTTGGCTATCAACAATCCTAACTACCAAGCAGTTCGCATTCGAGACAGCATCAAAACCCATCTCACAGACCCAAAAGATCCTTACCGCGCTTGGTATCGACGGGTAGCAGAACACTTCCAGGCCCAATGGCGATCTCAAAAAATCGACCAAGCCATACTACTGTCCACCATGCCTATCAACCTGCATGAGAAGGTGCTGTTGGCCATGTCTGCCTTCTGGAATGCGGAAAATGGGACTTTCCTCCTACCATCTGGCCCCTTTGGTCCAACTCTTATGGACGTGGCAATGATCGCGCATCTCCCAGTCGTAGGTGAAGACCCTGTAATGGGAGCCCTAGATGGGCAGGAGCCATCAGAAGACCATCCAGGGTGGTCTTTACAAGGTGTGAAGGAATGGGGTTGGACAAAGTTCGCAACCGACCAGCAAGGGGCTCCAGGGACCCCTGTAACCGACCGGGAGCATACTGCCTTTATCCTTTTTTGGCTTTGTAGGTACGTTATTGTTTCCCCTTCCAAATGTGTTCTTCCTACTCATCTCGACCTGGCAATTCATATCGCGTCAGGTCGGTTCTTCTCCCTTGGCACCCTGTTTTTAGCTAATCTGTTTGAAGGACTCACCAGGGTTAGCCTTCGTCTGACAGATAATGATAGTAGAAAATTAGACACTGCCGCATCGGGTCCTTTTTGGTTTTTAGAACTTTGGTTCCGTCTTTACTCCCCAACGCGTTTAACTTAGGATCTCCGCCCACTATGCCAACAGCTGAAAAATAT